TTTTTGGAAAATAAAACTGAGATAGGATTGTGGTCTCTGAACATTTTGCATACTACTTACTGTTAAACCTGTTTTTTGTTTAAATTATCAAGTGTATGTTGTTCTGCAAGCTTGTATAAAGGCAATTGTATATGTTACAACACATTTTATAATTGATTGACGGCAGGTATTTGAACAGTGCTGTATATATCAAATTGTATTATGTTGTTTGTCAACTGACTGAGGTATTGGACATGTCTTACTACTATATCACCACTGAAACAACTATTCATCAGATTTCATATGATGAATATAAACGCAATTATAGGTCACCGTCAGGCCTTTAACAATGAGAACAAAATGATACGGTATAGTCAGCTATAAAGACCTCGACACGAACTTGTATATCAATTTAGATGAGAAAACTAACAGCCTATTGTATACAATGAAAATTAAAAAAAAACAAATATGACAGACATGAACCAAAGACAACCTCTGGATAACAGACTCCTCACTTGGAACAGACAAAAAAAGTATGTGGCGAGCTGATCATGTTTGTGAGCGCTCAACACTCTCATAACCTGGAACAGTGGTGTCACACCACAACACATTAGAGACTAAGTTTTCTGCTGTTTGGTCGGGTTGTTGTCTTTTTGACACAAATTTCCCATTTCCATTCTCAATTTCATTAAACGTGAAGCATATCATGTATCATTATTAAGGTTTCTGAACCTCAATGTTAATATTGCAGGACCCACACAACTTCTTTGGGACTCAATAGGTCTAAACGTAATGGAAGTCCGAAAAGCTGCAACTAGTGTAAGAGAGCCAACAAGGACATACATGGTGCAGGCTAACAAACACAAGCATACAACATAAAAACAAACTAAAAAAATCCGTTGCAAATGGGTTACCTCACTAAATCGATACAAAGCACAAATAAACCAACTATCATAAACACAATAACAATAGACACAAAGAACTGTTACAGTTACTGAAAGGTAGTTAAATACCAATAGTTCTATAAATACTTGAATTGGATTGGTCAATTATAAATTTTCCCCTTGATTCACACTTCGATAAACCATGATTCCGAAACTACTTTCGTAACCTTCACTGTGATATATTCATGCGTGATACACATGCATGCAGGTATCCAGGGATTTTTAGCAAATTGAGATTAAAAAAACAAATACATAACAGTTGTTTCTTTTCTAATGCATATATACAACAAAAAAGAAATAATGCATTAAAGCTTTAAAAAAAGTATAAAATTAAAATTTAAATAAAATTTCGCGAAATTTCATGAATGCTTTAGCGAATTTACGTCATAGCAAAACACGACGTCATACGAATGAAAGCTTTCAAGAGAATGATTATTTCGTTACTTGTACGCTTCAAAGTCGGATAATATCTCATTAAAATGAAGTTTTTGAGGTAGGTAATATTTCATTTTAGATTTTGTTGCATTTATAAAACATTTATGGATTTTAGAAAGTCAATATGGCGACTAACTCCTTAGTTACGACCTGTCAATTGTGCATTTGATTGTAAATATAGTGGCCACACAGACATATAATAAGTCTCTGGTAGCCATTAAACAAACAAAATATTCATTAAAAATCGCGAATATTTGGCTTTAGAATTAAAAGGATTAAGCACATTTTTTCTAGCGATTATTGATGTGTAAACCGGGGCTCTTACTCACAAACTTAACATAAAAGTCCTTCGGACTTTTATTCAGTTTGTGAGTTATTCGCCCCGATTTACACATCAATAACCTCTAGAAAAAATGTGTTTAATCCTATAATAACAACTAATACATAACTCTTGTTTTCCCATATTAAAGTATCAATTGGTACACATCTAACGGATTTAGTGTAAAGACATCATAAACAGTATGAAAAATGCACAACCTGATGCAATGACAAAATATAAGGCAACAGTATCGATAGGATGTAGCATTATGAGTACGCATACTACATATATAACAATATATATTTAGTAATGTTTTTATTCATAAAAAATAACATAAAATTTAAAGATATTAATATGGTGGTACATTAATACACTTTAGAAGATCCAAAAAGACAATTATTGATGTCTGTATAAGATTTATTTAATGTAAGCTCCATTGGTTAAAACGTCTGCAGTAAAATAAGAAAAATTATTCATATTTAAAGTATCCTCAAGGTAACGGTAATTGTTTTAAAAGAAATCAATGAAATGTTATTTAGAATATATAAATATAGCTATAATATAAATTCTAAATAGTATCGAATCAATGGTGTACAGGAAGAATGAAATATAACGACATTCATTTCAACAAATAACTGTTAAATATGTTACAGAGAGGCGAAGGATACCAAAGGGTCATTCAAACTCACATGCCTAAAATGAAAAAGACAAAAAAAAAAAAAAAACAATACCTCACAACACACAACATATATAACAAAAGACTGAGCAGCACGAACCACACCAAAAACTGGGGGTATATCATGTACTCTGAAAGGATAAGCAGATCCTGCTCTACATGTAGCACTCATCGTTTTGTAATTTTGAATATATCAATATAGCCACATATGAAGTCTAAATAGTATTGCATCTATGGTGTACAGGAAAAATAAAATTTAAAGACAATCATTTCAAACGAAAACTGTAAGATATGTTATTTGTATTCATAAAATCCACTTGAATTACAAAGAGTTCACTAATGTTGTTAAACTAAATTTTTTTCATTTAACACTTACTACATCAATATTTCACTTTCTTAACAGACAACTATTAAAAATACATAAATGTACAAGTTTGTTTAGTTTCAGTAAATATAACATAGATAATTGTTGCTCGTTCTCAATTACATAAGCTGCATATTTAGTTTTTGTAGAATAAGTTCGCCAAATTTCACTTGATATTGTTTGAATCAAAGTACTATGTTAAGTAGAATGCTAGGGGAAGTACATGTATTCGTTTATTCAGTTTACTAGTATGGCATGTTACTTTTTCTGTATCCCAGTGGATTTCATTCATGTATATCTTTTCTTTGAAAGTTTCTGTTTTAGCCTAATTGAATCCGAAAAAATAAAGATTTCCCTGATATAGTACTTGTGTGCGTCTGGACACTGTTTTATCGATTGTTTTCAATATTTTCGTTATACTTTTTTTTTTATGTTTATAACGCTCTCAATTAGGGCCAACAAATCTTATTTTCTACTTTGAAAAACGTCTCACCAGTTTTAAATCTAAACTTGTAGGATTGTTTAAAAGTGGATTGACAACATGCGAAGTCCTAGATAGGTTGTGCAGATATTACAAACGAGTTTAACATCGTTATGCTAATATCAGTTCAAATGTAAAGATTTTACCTTGCCTCATACATTGTATTACGTAAGACAATGAGATACAACCACGGGGGTAAACATCAAATTTATGAGTTAAAGGAGGACAGTCAGTATGACTCGATGAAGTTAACATGCTTGTCTGTTTTAAATTTATTAAGTTAACTTGGGAAGCTGTCAGAAAGTCTGCTCCAAGTTAACCTTTGTACAGGTGGGACTGATCCTATCTGTAGATATGTACAGGAAACTATTTAACTAACAACGAAAAAAACATAATAAGAGTTAAGTCATGAATCCTTTGTGTTAAGTCAAAAATAGGTGGGATATACCAAATGGATATTTAAACTCATTAGTCGAAGACAAATTGACAACGCCATGGGAAACGATAAACGACCAAAAAAACAAATAGCACAGTTTCACAGGATATGTATTCACTAACTCAATACAACTAATATAGATTCACAGGGTTACAAAATAATGGGGTATACGTTTGGGTTGTGATAAAGAGATTGGACAGATATATTCAAATAGCTTTTGATAGTCATGGAAAGGACACGTTTGCTGCAGTTAATACATTATAAGAGAAATAAATACATTATATGTACAAGTACTTTTTTAAAACGTCCTTTTTGATAATCCAAATTTTTTTTGCAAAGAAGACAACGTGACCGCTATGAGATCAGATGTAGCCGATGCAAATACTCGAAGTTAAAATACAATTTGTTATATGTTTATCGCTATTTTCCGCTATTTTATGCATTAATATATGAATGGGGGTGGGTCACATTCCAGCCGCACTTCGGTACCCATTTTAACCGAAAACTGAAGTAATTCCCCCAACCTTTTCATGTTGAATTGATGCAGTTCCCCGGAAGGAAAGCTCTTGACGTGTAAAAATCTGTTGTTAAATTGCTGAGAGCGTCAAGGGAATCACAAAGTGTTTCAGTGTAAGTACAATATTTACCGTATCTGTTACGAAATAAAATTTAATTTTCCCGGGCAGACGTGCAATGACGGAAATGATGACGGCACGTAAATTTCAGAGCCGACCGTCGTGAAAGACGGTCAATCAGAACTGACCTTTTTCCGATTTTAACCCCAGATACCCCCCAAAAGATCTTGAAATGAACACATATTAAACTACGCTGCTCATTACCCCTTTGTGATATAAAACTATATTCGTGGATTTTATGTGAAAGAAGAAAACGCGACACCCAATTTCAACTCTATTCATTTAGTAATATAGATGACTTACAACTGAATATACTTTATTTTTACAAATATATTCTTTGTATCTAACATAGCAATAGAGACATGCTAGTCACAAATTGGTTTCGCGAATGAGAAAATATTATACCTTCATCTAGGGAAATAACAAACGAAATAAACGAAAAACAAAGAAACGGATGTTTAACTTATTAACTTTCTATAGTTCTTTTCAATATAAAAAAGAAGATGTGTTATGAGTGCCAAATAGACAACTCTCCATACAAGTCACAATGTATAAAAAGTTAATAAATCCACTTTTTCCAATATGAGTGTCAATAAGATAAAAAAACGAATATTTAAGTATATTGCAAAGATATGTACACATTTTAGCAACATTGTGTTTACATTGATTTGTGCAGTTGTGTAGTCCGATGTACCTAGGTTAACAATCCTGGTTAGAACTATATTCTTTACCTTATTTCTTTTATTTGGATCTACATCTGTTCTTTTTAGTAGCAGTTGGACTATATCATCTGATCCATATCGAGCAGCAAAGTGTAAGGGAGTGTCACCGTCCTGAAATAGTAAGGTTGAAACTTTCATTGTAATTATATAACAGTATATGAAATGAACGACTTTATATAAATAATTGGACTATGACAACAAATATCGCTTGTCAGCAATATAAGGTAGGAATTTAGAGACATATTTATCAATCACAAATGCCTCTGAATCTGCCAATGGCACTATGTTAATTGCTTAGATACGTAACCATGTCATGTCATTAATGTTTACGTTGTCAACATATATCTGGGTTTGGTTTTTTTTTCTTCTAAAAAAAAGGAAAATTGAATACTAAACCTCTCGCTTTACAACTGACCGGTGATGTCTATACACATCGAGTTAATTTATCTTTATTTACACTCATCATGACAATTTTACACTTATTAAAAAGTAAAATAACAAAAATACCAAACTCCAAGGAACATTGAGTATTAACATATATTATTTGCTTGCATTGAAAACTCGTCCGTAACAATGTTAATTCATATAACGTTCATCTGTATTAGTTCTCATTTAACAATATAAATCTTTACTTATTCAGGTATCTATTCCTTCCTGTCTTTTAGATTTTGGGTTTTGAGCGTGTAGCGTGTATGAGGACGGTAAACCCAGAAAAAGGCTTTGTACTTAGAAAGTTCCTAAATTGTTATTTCAATTTTTTGGATACTTTACTGCTTAATATTATTGATATTTATATAGGAACGTCATTTGCTAGTAAACCTTTGTTTAAAACGAACTTCACATTTGCCTAAACGTTAATTGTGGTCCATCAGACAAAGAGATGAACAAAAGTGAATTATAGTATTTGATATGATTATTTAATAATTGCAGTAACGAATGCTCGTTAAGTTACCCACTTATGTTTCTGAAACAGAGATATTCATAGTATTTGCTTCTATTATCTTATTTTATGTTCTGAAAGTTAATGACATGATTTATCTTATAAGATAGCGATGTATTTCAAACATACGTTCCCCACAAGTCGTGTGCATCCATTTAAACAAGGCATATCTAATCGATTTACGAGATGAGAACATCCGCAGAATATTGTCGTTTAAGTTTCTTTCCCTGAGATAAATTTTCACCCACTATTTTGTCAGAGTTTGTATTGTACACCTGAAGTCTGGCATTTCAGGCTTTATCACTTATATTATGCATGTTTAATACTACAGTATATAAATTTGGCTTCAGGAGGGAAACAGTCAATAAATAAAAACTGGATCGAGTACTTTCACAACTGCAATCAGTACTAAAGCCTCGGTAAAATGACTATCTGGGATAATTTAATGGTGCCCATCAAAAGGTATCTTAGCATTGCAGTGACTGACAATAGAAAATTTATCTAAAAAACTGAATGCAATTTAATCTTATCGTTCCTATTTGAAGTCTGAAAATTAAAAAAAGGACGAGTTGTGTTTAGATATAGAAAATGTATCTCAACAAGTAACCAGAAACGGTCCTGTGTATTTTAATTTTATAATTCTAAACAAATATCTGAATATAAAAAGATATCAAGTCACTTCTTCAATTATTTCATATTGATAAATCAAGTGGTTAGAGACCATCATTATTTTATTGAAAAGAAACCTTCGCTTCTAACGACATTTGATGTACAAAAAGTTTAATTGTCATTGATCCTAAAACGAATAGAAAAAATAGTAAAGTCTACTAGATCTTCTCTCATGGAACACCACACATATGACCACCAGTATTGATAAAGCCAAAGCCCTACTGAAGAATAGAAATTACAAATTACCCCCTAACAAAAGTATCAATTTCTGTTTAACGTTAATGACGTAGGCTTATCACGTCATACATTATCTTTTCACTCGACCGCGAAAATCTAATTTCACTCGAATAGCGTGATATGAAAAATTACCACGTAAAAATAAAAGGAACATTTGAGAAATTAGCGATAATAATAATAGGACCTGTTAGAATGTATTTACATGCATTGCTGAAATTGATTTAGTGGTGTTTTTTTAATGACATAGTTTTTCAATTTACAGTGGACAGATTTATGAAAAAAAACACAGACTGTTATGTAGTGGGTAAACGCCAATTATAAACCAATGAGATATAACAAAAAATAGAAGATACTTTCAACAAGACCTCGAATACCTTTAGAGACTAATATGTCATTTTTTATAAATATGTCTGTTCATAGGGCAAAACAGTGGACATATACATGTAGTTTCATGTAAAGGTTCATGTTTTAAAACCTATTATAATTACTCTGAAAATCTAAGTAGGAAAGTACAAACAAAATAGACTTTTAAAATCACTTTAACCACAGTAAAATTTCGAGTTTAGCGATAATGTTATATGTATATGACTTACAACTGAATACACTTTATTTTTACAAATATATTTTTGGTATCTAACATAGCAGTAGAAACATGCTAGTCACAAATTGGTTTCGCGAATGAGAAAATATTATACCTTCATTTAGGTAAATAACAAACGAAATAAACAAAAAACAAAGAAACGGATGTTTAACTTATTAACTTTCTATAGTTCTTTTCAATATAAATAAGAAGATGTATTATGAGTGCCAAAAAGACAACTCTCCATACAAATCACAATGTATAAAAAGTTAATAAATCCACTTTTCCAATATGAGTGTCAATAAGATAAAAAAACGAATATTTAAGTATATTGCAAAGATATGTACACATTTTAGCAACATTGTGTTTACATTGATTTGGACAGTTGTGTAGTCCGATGTATCTAGGTTAACAATCCTGGTTAGAACTATATTCTTTACCTTATTTTCTTTATTTGGATCTACATCTGTTCTTTTTAGTAGCAGTTGGACTATATCATATGATCCGTATCGAGCAGCAAAGTGTAAGGGAGTGTCACCGTCCTGAAATAGAAAGGTTGAAACTTTCATTGTAATTATATAAAAGTATATGAAATGAACGACTTTATAAAAAGAATTGGACTATTACAAAAAATATCGCTAGTCAGCAATATTAGGTAGGAATTTAGAGACATATTTATCAATCACAAATGCCTCTTAATCTGCCTATGGCACTATGTTAACTGCTTAGGTACGTAACCATGTCATGTCATTAATGTTTACGTTGTCCCTATCAACATGTATCTTGGTTTGTTTTTTTTTCTCTAAAAAATAAGGAAATTGAATACTAAACCTGTCGCTTTACAACTGACCGGTGATGTCTATACACAGTGAGTTAATTATCTTTATTTATACTCATCATGACGATTTTACACTTATTAAAAAGTAAAATAAAAAAACTCCAAGGAAAATTGAGTATTAACATATATTATTTGTTTGCACAGAAAGATCGTCCGAAATAATGTTAGTCCATGTAACGTACATCTGTATTAGTTCTCATTTAACAATATAACTCTTCACGTATTCAGGTATTCATCCCTTCCTGTCTTTTAAATTTAGGGTTTTGAGCGTGTAGCGTGTTTGATGACGGTAAACACAGAAAAAGCCTTTGTACTTAGAAAGTTCCTGAATTGTTATTTCAATTTTTTTGATACTTTACTGCTTTATATTATTGATTTTGATATAGGAACGTCATTTTCTAGTAAACCTTTGTTTTAAAACGAACTTCACATTTGCCTCAACGTTAAATGTGGTCCATCGGACAAAGAGATGAACAAAAGTGAATTATAGTATTTGATATGATTATCTAGTAATTGCAGTAACGAATGCTTGTTAAGTTAACATTTATGTTTCTGAAACATAGATATTCATAGCATTTGCTTCTATTATCTTATTTTAGGGTCTGAAAGTTAATGACATGATTTATGTTATAAGATAGCAATGTATTTTTAACATACGTTTCCCACAAGTCGTGTGTATCCCTTTAAACAAGGCATATCTAATCGATTTACGAGATTAGAACATCCGCAGAATATTGTCGTTTAAGTTTCTTTTCCTGAGATAACCTTTTACCCACTATTTTGTCAGAGTTTGTATTATACACCTGAAGACTGGCATTTCAGGCTTTATCACTTATATTATGCATGTTTAATACTTCAGTATATAGATTTGGCTTCAAGAGGGAAACAGTAAATAAATAAAAACTGGATCGAGTACTTTCACAACTGCAATCAGTACTAAAGCCTCGTTGAAATTACTATCTGGGATAATTTAATGGTGCCCATTTAAAGGTATCTTAGCATTGCAGTGACTGACAATATAAAATGTATCTAAAAAACTTAATGCAATTTATATAATCTTATCGTTCCCCTTTGAAGTCTGAAAATAAAAAAAGGACGAGTTGTGTTCAGATATAGCAAATGTATCTTAAAAAGTTACCAGAAACTCTCATGTGTATTTTAATTTTATAATTCTAAACAAATATCTGAATATAAAAAGATATCAAGTCACTTCTTCAATTATTTCATATTGATAAATCAAGTGGTTAGAGATCATCATTATTTTATTGAAAAGGAACCTTCGCTTGTAACGACATTGGATGTACAAAAAGTTCAAATGTCATCCTAAAAAAAATAGAAAAAATAGTTAAGCCTTCTATATCTTCTCCCATGGGAACACCACACATATGACCACCAGTATTGATAAAGCCAAAGCCCTACCGAAGAATAGAAATTACAAATTTCCCCCCTAACCAAAGTATCAATTTTTGTTTAACGTTGATGACGTAGGCTTTTCACGTCATACATTATCTTTTGCACATGTACCTTGTTAAAAGTATTTTTAAAAAGAGGTTTAATTGGAAGAATATAGCATACCTGGGGAAATATATGAGGGGGGGGGGGGGGGTACAAAGGAAAGATAAAAAAAAATAAATTTCAACACCTTAAATCAGGTTTTATAGAATGTATATTCAGCAAATAAACTGTAACAATGAATGACCTATCATATGAACGTCCAAGTCATTAAAGTATGTTTCTGTAGCTGAACATTCCCTTGACTAATGAATTTCTGTGATTAAAATCTTGAAATTTGCGGTTTGATTAAGAAGGAACCACAGAAAAGGATTTTTTTTCGTGAAAACTGTTTGAACACGTGCTTCTAAAAACCGTATCTATTGTATTACATATTTTACGTATAGGTAGTATTACATAGGACAAACTGGCATGCCATAAACAAATTTTTTTTTTAAATAATTAGCTTTAGCAAATATTTAGAAACATGTGCTGGAAATCAGTATCCACGTGTTAACTTTAGTCACACTTTTTTAGTTTTATATTATGTCAACATGAATAGAAAAGAAAAGAGACCAACTTTCAAAAGGGCATACAATTAACCAGATTTATGCTTTAAGATAACGTTTTAACGTGACCTTTACTCACTTCTACTATAACGTCGATCAATAGTTGACAACACACATTATTGACATCAATGAATATATCAGAGGTTTAATGTTTTTCACCTTCATCAAATTATTCTAATTATGCATCTGTTTTTCTCTTTTCAGTAGATAGTCTATCATATGTAATACATCGACAATAATTATCCAAGAAAATTTTAATAACTTAGTTTATTATTTTCCCAATAAAAGCTTGCAAGTATCGGTTTTAATTTCAAATCTTTTACAAGTTAAGTAAATGTAGACGGAATCCAATTTGTTTACAATTTTCATCTATCGGTCGACAGTTATCTATTGACTGTTTTGTTTTCTCGGTAATACGTAGAAATTGCAAATTTCGCATTTAACATTTGTAAGAAAATCGCATTCTTCATGAGGCTTCCGTGTGTGATAATTATAAATTCAAGTTGGAAGCAAACAACAGTTAATGATGTTATATATCATACATTCATTAAGAACATTCGTATCAAGACAAAACAAGAAAATGAGGGAATCTTATCAAATATAAATAGCGCTAGATCGGGTGGGTCGGGTAGAGTAAGCATTTCTTGTTATACAAACGCCACCCGCCATGAAAATCCATATTCAGTGAAATGTCACAATCGGAAATTCTCATTGGTTCCCATTGGGATACCAATTGTCTGATGACATATCAATCCACTTAACACAACAAATATGTTATCGATCCAAGAAGTACATTGATATTATGATTTTGATTTAAGTGTAATTGTTGTATTACTGTGGATTCATTATTATTCGCTGGATACCAATTTTCGTGGGTTTCGTAGGTACAGTTGAACCACGAATTTAAATGTTTAGCGAATAATGCATTTTCTATAGGTTTTGTCTGTAGAAATAGGCAAAACCACGAAAATAAATATTCACGAAAATGCAAGCTTTCCTCAATTTACGAAAATTGATACCCGAGAAAAATAAATGAATCCACAATAATCAGTGTTGTTCACCACAAAGACAAATGTTTCTTTACAAAAAAAAAAGGAATATGTATCTATGATTTTTCGCACACTGGTGTCAAAATACAAATTAATAATCATCACCAACAAAAGTGTTGTGTATCTCTAAAGAAATAAGAGATGTGCAGTTTTTACTGTTTAACATGCATTTGGTGATTTTTTATGTTTCGCCCCAGTTGACCAACATCGATTCTTTTTATTTTAACTTACTATAATTATTCTTTGTAGTTTTCTATATATCCTGATGTTTTTCTCTTTAAAGTTTATTTGTTTTTCATTTTAACCCTTTATTCCCGGATAGATAAAATGATCCTTATAATTTGTGTACGTCTAGACCATTTTTCATCATACGCATTCAATATTTTCGTGTTCTATTTTTATCATTTTATAACAGTAAAACCTGTATAATCCGGCCGGCTATGGGACTGTGAAAAAGGACCAATTTGGACAGTGGGTCAGTTTATTCAGGTTTCCGTTTTGACAGGCAGTTATTGACTAGTGACGTCAGATATCTTGCATGTAAAAGTTCTGTCTCATTCTAAATTGTAAACTAATAAAAACAAATACCGTAATAATTTTTTTATTAAAAGTTATGTCATGATTTGTGTGAAGACATTGTCACATGAACATAACAAGTGTTCCTGCCTTTCACCATTTAACTAAGCATGATCATTGTTTTGAGTCTTTGCATTCTTTGGCTTTAGAAACTTCAGAAATTAGTTGTCTCCCGATTTTTTTTTACATATCCTCGTATGTCAAATCGACCTCGGTAACATCATTCTCCGACTCGTCAGTTTCAGTTTTATTTTAAGTTCTTCTTTTCATTTGCATCATAATTCTCGCATTGTTTGAATTATTTGAATTGTTCGAAGAGAGGTTTGAATACGATATTCTTGAATATAGGTTTGAGAGATTTGGTTACGTATTGGCTAATTGAAATTTAACATAGTCATTGTTCAGGAAAAAACGTTAAATGATACACCCTCCTTTTTAACGTTAAAGTCATATGAACTTCAAATACAAAAAAATAGTAGAAGATTTCCATATACTTGAATGACTTAGTTTTACTCTTAAAAAAAAATGTGCATGGACCTTTTAATAAAAAACCTTAATCGTATCAACATCTTCAGAAATATACTGCTTTTGAGTTATTGTCTTCCCGTACTTTATTCCGCCATTCCTGTTTCATATGCAGAGATCTTAACCACGCAACCTCTCGACAACAGCACAGTGTAATGGCAAGGGAAAACTCGTGATTACAAGAATGTAAACAAACGTTTACTGGAAGTTAAATAGTGTGTTGATTCTTGTAGAACAATTAAATCATTTAACAACAGTTATGGCAAAGTTAAATTAAGAATTGGAAAAGCATGGAATATATAAAATAAATATGATATCGCTCTAATTTTTTCCACATGCTCTATGAACTCTTTTAATTGCTTTTTAATGTCACAATTCGATAAACTTCGGCAACAAACCCGAGTATTAATTAGAAACTGAAGTATGCGATCAACAATCACTGAATGGTTTTTTGTTTCTATCGATTATGTATTATGGGCTCGTATTACATGTTTAAAAGGTGTTTAGATGACTTATTTTATCATGTTTAGTATATATTCATATATTGGTACAAGAATTTGCTGAACGTTAAAGTTGCATGATGACTTAAGCGTTATAGAAAACACTGATCCACCGGTCGTGTCATCTCTCTCTTTTAACAATTTAACTTATTCTGGTATGTATTCATCCTTGACTTTCAAATGTTTGGGTTTAAGCGTTTCTAATGAAGTTAAATCTAACCGAAAAACACCGAAATCCGAGGAAAATTGAAAACGGAAAGGCCCTAATCAAATGGCAAAATCAAAAGCTCAAACGCATCAAACACAAAGATATTAACTGTCATATTCCTTGACTTTAAATGAAAGTAACATGTGCACTGCCGTTATTGCGTTCAGCAATGCCTATTACTTAAATTTATAATACAGAGCAACTCATATTTGATTTGCTTGTTGAATTTTATTGCGGGATCTGAAAGTTATTGACTTAATTCATGTTATAAGTCTGCATGTCAAACACATGCGTTTCCCATAAGTTGACATGTGTCCTTTTATACACGGTATATATAATCGTTTTACGAGATTAGTGCATAGGTACTCTAGTGTCACCTTAATATATAATGACGACAGCGTATCTATATCCTAGGTTCCTTGCCACACACTGTTTGTGTAGGGTTTGTTTGATTATCAAAATTCTGGCAACAATGCGTTATAAATATCTAATAGACGTTTAATACTACAGTGAATTGAATTGTCTTGAAAGAGAGGCGAAAGATATCAGAGGGACATTCAAACTCATAAGTCGAAAATCAACAGACAACGCCATTGCTAAAAAAGAAAAAGAACAACAGACAAACAATAGTAAACAAACCTCAACATACAAAACAAAAGACTGAGTAACTCGAACCCCACAAAAAAACTGGGGATGATCTCAGGTGCTCCGGTAGGGTAAGCATATTCTGCTCCACATGTGGCAACCGTCGTATTGCTCATGTTAGTACAAACCCGGT